TTTATCCGCGATTGTTTTTCACAACATTACTTAATCATGCTTTGAAAGAAGCAAAGTTCATTCGATACCATACATTGAAATATTTACAATTCATGAAAACATTAATATGTATCTTGTTTTAATTTCCAATATTAGAGGACACATTCTGTTGCAACTATTATCTGCTTTAACTTGTAAATTAAACCGTTATGAAACCAGTATACAAAACTTTACAAAATTTCCATATACTTTAAAATAAATAACTAACAAGAAAGTATTCATAATATAAATAATAAAAATAATCATAAAGTATGGTACTTAAATGTGGATTTATTGAAAGTGATTTCAATATTATCCTAAAAGGGAAACTAAACTTTCGAAGGATAAATAATTATTATGTAATTACAAAAATTGATACATGCATAATGTCAAAACGTCACGTTTACAACATTATATATTACACGAATCAAGATATTACCTACATTAACATACACGAACACTCACTATCAACCCCCAAACTATCGAATTAAATTATACGCAAGGTCCCTTACTTAAAAATCCAATAAAATGTTATTATAAAACTCTTTAAAATGTTATTATAAATTATAAAATTCTTAACAATAGTTCACAAAACCCCAATTCCATAAGATAACTGCACGAAGTAGTAAGGCGCAAAGTCCAAGATTAAAATAAAGATTGCAATGCTAAATTGAAATCCATGTATAAAACACAAATTCAAATATATATATACAGCCCATAAACTATAGACCTGTGAATCTTTGACCCCTGTGGTACAGTAATATTCCACATAATATTATGAAATATAGAACGTCTGTCCCATTCTAGGATGTCACGGCATTTCCAGCTAAAGAGGCCAAAGATTATTTCGAGGAATCAGAGCCTAAATCACAGAGGTCCCGCGGTATATGCTACACACCGGAAAGGCTGGTTAGGTCTCAGGAGTATAGAATACTCACTCCGTCGTCCCGTTACTTATCCATCTCTCAAGCGAGGCTCATGCCAGAAAATGAAAATCCACGGAAAGCGCTTCGTTGCCGACGGCGATTGAATTATCTTATCGACTCTAAGCAAGTTGGTAGGTATTTTCCCCTTTATACAGGGAGCCTCGTACACGTTCGACATTCACGGAGCGTGCAACAGCGCACAGCAGATCGCAAACTTGTTCGAGCAAGGCTGCCGTCAGCTAACTTGAATACATATAACCCAGCCATTGTGTCTGACCCAGTAAAGTTTCGCGGTCTACCAATATGTGAAATCGGTTCGCTTCGCGTTCATTAGACGTACTTTCGTTTCAACACCTGCACCCTTAAACTTCTACTGCTACACTTTACCGGGAAGAAACTTGGCGAGTTGTTGCGCAGATTTTTGCGGATTACTTGCAAAACTGGAGCTGTACGTTTAATGTTCCGATTCTTTCTCCGATATTAGGGGTTCCCACGAGTACAGCGAATTCTTCGGTTCATATACAAGTTGAAAATAACAAATTTTAATCGGAAGATTTTAGATAAAATATATTCATCGATACTTGCGTTATTTTTCTTATATTGGAAATAGTTAGAATGTGATCTTCATTGACCATATTAATTAACTTTGAAAGGAGAATTTATAGGATATTAAAATAAAACTATGAATTTAATTTTTTTTTATAGTATATTTGAAAATATATTTCAAATGTATATTTATTTCGTGAAAAGTATTTTTGAAAAACATATTTATTTATAAACTTTTAGGAGTACCTTAAATTCATGTAACTGGCGAAGAAAAGTGTTTTAAGAAATTACTTTAATCTAATTTATTTAACTACGTCAGAAGATTAGAAGTTGAACATTGTAGTCATTGATTTTAATATATACGCAGTAAATTAGTAGGTCAGAGTTCAATGAAGAATTGTGTATCTATATATATATATAAGGATTGTATATATATATACACACAAGAATCCACAAGAATACCAACAGTAAATTAACATACTTTCGTACTGTTCGGATTATAGATTTATTGAATTTTCTAACTGGGGTGAGGAATGATTAACTATTTTTGGAAACGGTAGAAAATAAATTTGAGAATTCTTCGTCTAAAGGAGTCAATTGGATATTTTTTGTAAATATGTATTTTATTATTTTGTAGGCGTTGCAACAAACAAAGTCTTAAAATAAAATAGAATGAATTTTATTTTTTTTAATATTTTCAAAATTAAAATAGATAAACTAACTTCAAAGGTTACATTAAGAATTATCCGTGACAATATTATAAATAATTTGTTTTTATACGCACCAAGTGATGCATAACATAAAACACAAAATCTCTTAAGTAATTACCTAAACAATTAATATTTTTCAAGCTGATTTTCTACATTTCACAGAAGAAATATTTTATAATCAATAAGATGTTCAACCTATTAAATCATTCAAATATAAAATATTTACATAAAACAAATAATATTACCAAACATTCTTCATTAAATTAACCGACATACAATGCGTTAAAACTTCCACAAATGGTTCAAAAGAATATAATTTTAAATAGTAAATGTTTCATTAGGTTCGACGCAATTGAGAGTTCTCCTAAATTCTACCCCTGTGGAGATAGCAGTGCCAGCTATTTTTTCGCCACCGTGGAAGAATTGTAGAAAAAATTTCAATGATGACGTTTCGTCGGAGTATGACGATGATGGCACAAAAACGGATCATCCGTTGAATACAATGGACCACAAGAAACCTATCGACTTGCAAACGCCAGACTCAATCTATAAAAGATCCAGTAACGAGGGGTTGAACGTCACCTGGGAGGATTGTAAGAGGATAGAAACCCGTAGCTCCTCTATGGATGACACATCTGGTATCCAGAGTAATGACTGGAGCTCGGACACTTACAGTGACCTACAAAATACGCCATTATGCCTTTCCGACGAGCTGGCATCGACGAATTACAAGTTAGACACTTCACAGGTATTTATTTTTAATTAACGTCTATGTTACCCGAGTTAAATTGTGTCAACGATATTTCTCTAGTATGAAGTTTTATAAGTTACTTTTTCTTAAATGGCTGCAAATGTAGAATTGATTATTCATTAAATAAAATAGGATAGGGTTAACCCTTTGCATTCGAAAGTTTTACGTTCGAAATATTCAATATTTTCTGATAAGATATAAAGAATATTTTCTGAAACTATTTTAACTGTTCATGCATAAATTAAAGAACAAAATTATTTTACTTTAATATTTCACATAGTGATGCATTATGCAAAGTTTAATATTTAATATTTATAATTTTAATATATCACTGCAAGCGATGACTGAAAGTCGCCACTCGAGTGTAAAGGATTAATCCTTTGACGTTCAACAAAATAAAACAAGTGCTTTAAGTAAATTTTATATAAATATATAACAATTATTCATTCGTGAGAATAATATAATAATTATATAAAAAAAGCTTTGCCATTTTTAATAAAAATAATCTTTTTTATAAAGATTTTTCGAATTTCAGATTATAAAGCTTCAAATCACAAACTGAGATGGAAATTACTTCTTTCAATATTCATGTATTCATTCCGTCTATACTGTTTATTCTATAATTTTTTTAAATAAACGAAGCAATCTTCACACAAATTCTGCATAAAAATATTAATAAGTAGGTGTATCCTTTGTTTTGAGAATAAATAATTTTCACTATCATGAAATCTCGTACTATTTTCGTTAAGGATGCAATTAGTGTAATTTTCAAAAATTATTAATGATGAAATCATTTTTACATTAACACTAATGAATGTTTCTGTCAGATTTCTAATTACATTAAAAGTTTGTTTTACTTGCCTACTCGTGCAATATCTCGTTTATATAATTGCTAATGCGTTGGTAGTGGAAGCAGACTAGATAAGGGTATTTATACTATTCCGTGATATCTATTTTAAGCTTCTAGTTTCTTGATCTCTGAAGCTTGTTAAAATAGTCATATCACAAAATGAAAGTTTACAGATCCAAGTTTCCTATTTTAGAACACCTACTGTTCCTAAAATTATTAAAATATAATTTTTAAATCTGCCAATGAAACCCCGTGATAATTTTCCTAACATCTACTGAATTATCAGTGAACAGTTTTAATAATTATTATAATTTAATTTTTACAATTAATTAATTGTAATGTTGAACAAATACAATTTTTTTAATTAAACTTTTTAAAATTTAATAAGTAGGACGAAAGAAATTCTATTATTAATAAAATTAAAAATATATTTTAATTGATACAAATTATACGTAATGGAATTTATATCAACCCTTTGCACTCAAAAAACAATTCTCAATCGCCACATGATTTGACACAGCAAAATTGTGAAGTTTGACATTTCAATGTTAATCTTTATGTAACGCATCAATATGCAAAATATTGAAACAAAATAGCTTTGTTCCTTAATTTATGTCTATCGTTAAGTCAGTTTCAAAAAATGTCGTCTATATCTCATCAGAAAATGTTGAATATTTTAAATGAAAATTTTTCGAATGTGAAGAGTCAACCAACTTTTGAAGTAATTGAAGCGAGACTGTATAAAGTTTAATTATATTAGGAACTCGATGTGTGATTAATTTGTTCTAGTGTGATAATACGTCGTTAATTAAACATTGTTATTCGTATTAAGTAAATAAAATTCTGTTCCAAGTATATTCTCCACTTAACCCATTAGGTACTTTTGACGAATATACTCGTCATGAAGAAATGGCAAGGTGTCATGTTACGAGTACACTCGTCAAAAATAACTATAACTATAACTTTAAGGGATCAATAATTGCAAAACAAGGAAACCGAAACCAGTCACTTTGACTGGTACGGTAGTTATAGTGTTAAATGATCTGTCAAATTATTTACTTAAAAACACATCACATTTTATAGGGACGTTGTACCGCTATCAATGAAGTGGTATCGATTCTTGAAGTCCTCGACACGGACCCCGAAAAAGCAGCGGTTCTTCTCGAAGAAGATCGTTTCTGTGATAGCACCTCTTCCCACGATCAGTTAACCAGGCTAGCCCTGGCGATTGAAACGGATGCGAAAGTGCCGGATGTTCTTGAAACTTCCGAAAATGTGGTTCGAAATCTTCAAAGGAGGGTGGAGAAGCTTCAAGCTGGTAGTAAAGACATGTTCAAAGATATATGCAACCTGAGGCAAAGTTTTCAGGTGAGAATACTGTGCATTGTGTTCATTGATTCCACATCTTACACATTTTGTTTCATGATTGCATGCTCGAAAATTGCTTCATCGTGTCTATACCGTTTACCAGAACATATACTCAATAGATAGATACAAAAATATTGATCTTTGATGTATAATATTTCTTTTGTATCGAAATATCTGTTCAGTCCACACTACATATTTCATTATGTACACATCTAAATCTCGGTCCTTTCGTGAACATGAATTTATTATACATAGTAAACTTGAAGTTTTAGATTTTTGTTTCTTATTGCATATGATGAAACGTAAAAGATAAAAACATATATTCTTCTTTAATTTAATTTTTTTTTAACTTTCTTTATGTAAGTTTAAATTTACATAAATATTGGAATTTTACTGAAAATATTATCAGATATTATAAATTTAAAATAAAGTATTTGTTAATAATGGACTTTCTTCATCATTATTATTGAACATCAATTAATAAATGACTATTAATTATTATAAATGAATAATGTAATATATAGGAAAATAATGAATTTCCAACACTGGCTCATGCATTCTTATTTATTCCATAATAATTAGTTCAGCTGAGCAATGTTTAAATCTCATTAACAATACGCTGGCACATCATTATATGCTTATAATTGATTAATTTAAAATAATAATTTAGATATAATGACGTTAATAAAGAATATATCATTATACCATCAACAATGCTAATTACATGCAGAGATAGTTAAAATTTAACACTACAAGTATAAAACACAGAGTTTTCTATGACATTTTCTTAAATTCTGTAAGCATAATTTAAATATTCGAAAATCATTATTTATATTCCCATTAGCCATCAAATAAATATATACAGAAATTGAAAAATAATTATACTCCACAGGTAGAGAGTTTACAAAAAAATACTTTTCTTAATTTTCTTAGAAGTGATTGTCTTGTTAATTAAGAATAATATAATATCAAAATAGTTGCAAAAATACCAATAGAATATATTACTTTGCTCGCTCAAGACTTAGTCAGGTCACGAATTCGATATCGTTTACGTATTAATTACCAATTCTACATTTCAATGCGTTCATACTATACAATACAAAGAAAATTTAAAAATTACCAGCATGAATATTTAGAATATTACACTTTTCAGTGCGACGAACGAAAAATGGAGGATCTTTCGAACAATACAAGTAAACTTCGTGAGGACATTCACGAGATGCGATATCTTGACGATATCTTAAATCTCTTACGCGGAGAACTCAAAAGAATTTCTAAGAGGAATTGGCCGTTCGTCGCGGGGCGCACGGAACATCATTCGGAGGAAATGAATCTCATCGTATAAAAATATTTTTCCTTGGTGACACCGATAGAATTTTATAACAGGAAACAAGCCAAAGGGCATTTTTAAAATATTTTCTGTAGGAACAATATTGAATATATCATTCCTAAGGAATATATAAACTTTGTATACTAAGTTGAGACAAGAATAACTTCCTATTTCCATTTTATCAATTTATTTCAGTTCATAACAATTTACAATTACCGTCCATTTACTGTACCATTAATCATACAATTGAATTAAAAAATTGTTCATTCAGTAGGAACGGTTTTGTAGTTATCACGTAATAAATTCTTGTTAGCTGTAATGGAAGTTATTGATGATTCAACTCTAAATATATATAATTTTATAATTCGCAAGTACCTATCTTAGAAACGTTTCACTGCCATTTAATTCGCAAGAACGTAAAATCCCAATAAACTTGTTAGGTCAGTGATGTAAGACGTCTCAAACAATTCCATTGAATTCGCGTTTTGAAAATATTCGAGATAGAAAGGAAAATTTATTGAGAAATTCAAATGAATGAACTTAGTATTAAGATCAATATCGAATCAGTTTTATCTTATAATTCCTTCCCATCTTGGCTATTTAAATATAACTGAATTTTGTCGCATGAAAACTTTACAAGAGTTAATTTAACAACAGATTATTGCTAAAACAATTTCAACTAAATTTCTGTGTAAATATATTGAAATTTCTATGAATTAATATCTTGAAAGTTCTATGTAGAACATATTTTTATAACAATAAATTTCTGTAGAAATTTTACCTGGAAGTTTGATAGAAAGATAAAAATTTTTCATAACAATATATTGTTACGTATGCCAGTAAATATATATTCATGATTTCATAATTTTATAAAAAAAAGTTATAAAACTATGTTCGAATTTGTCGTTTGTAACAATAAACTGGTGCCAGTATTATTATTATGGTACTTAAATGCGCGAAATACTGCAGGCAGGTGTTTAATTAAAATTAGAATCTATACAAAACAGAAGTACCTATGCTAGTTTCAGGCTTTTGTACATTGCTTAGTTTTTTACGATTAGTGAAACTACTGAAATTTGTATAATAATTTATATCTTTTGCACCGAGGATGTAATAACTGTTTCTTCATTGAAGATTCGAATGCTAAATTTTCTAATGAATAAGTACTTCTTTCAACTAATCACAACCCTAGAAAACAATAATTAGATATTTTAGATTAATTATTAATTATTTAGTCCTTGGCCACATTAATATAAAATTTTATAAATAAAACAATACTATCTGTGTGTGTAAGAACATTATTTTCTATTTTAAAAAATTGTCGTAATGTAATATACTGTCAACCAAATAATTCAGGCCTGAAAGTTTAGCATTCAAAAATATTGAATGGTAGACAAAAACGTTATAAAAATATATATAATTGTATTTATGTTAGAAAAATTCTATTTATAAATATATTTTAAATTTTATAAACTAAATATTTTGAAGTATGTATTTACAGTTTTTAATTTTTTTAACAAATACTTTTACTGCCTAAATAAAAAGAATCATGGTTTCTAAAAATAAAATATTAAATTAAA